ACGTAGCAATATTTGTTGCTTGAATTGCTCTATAGTTTCAATAGTGAATATTTATCTTCTTGAACTGTAGCCTTGTGTCTCGCTTTGGGAGTATACATAGGCTTTATACTTTACCTTCTACACTTTTATCAAAACAGGGTATATGAACAAATTTTCTATACAAATGATTCTGAAATGTGAATTTGTTCGTACATGATTGATCCCGCGGGGAAGCAATTTTTTTTATTGCACTTCTTTTAAATAGCGAGAAAGACATCAAAGGCGCTTGAACAGGGATTCCCTGGACAATTATTAATACGTGTAAGTCTTTCAATGTGTGTATGCTGGTGAACATTCAGATTTATTTATATTTTTTTTGCAAACATTGAATAATCTAAGTGTTTAAAATTTTATTTATCCCCATCTGTTCATATTTATATATATATTAAAAAAAATCTGTACCCTGAATATTCAGGAGGCCGTATGTTAGATGGCATATTGGCACACGTAGGAAATATCGTTTGAAAGGAAACTCTAAGTCCTTTATGAAAAAGTAAATATAATGATGCAATAAGATCTGGGAGGGAAAAAAAAGACATAGATCACAATTTGAATAATTTATGCTTTGTAACATCCAGCAAAACGGAAAATGTGTAAACCTGAAAACACTAGATTTGTTTTGAAAGTTATACATTCCTTGCTGCTCACGTTCTGAAAAAAATAAAGTTTTTATTCTGAATAACAAAGAGTTAAGAAAATATTATTTGCTTAAAAAAAAAAAAAAAGCTCCACATCATGTGACGAGGAAGCCACCGGGTCTCTGCATACACGAGATTCCCATAGCCCAGCCCAAGGAGCCTCTAGCTCCTGCGATTTTGCTTATCAGGGTTTAAAACCTGCTGTGTAGCGGTAAATCCCAATGTGTCTTATGATCTGTGACAGCTCCGGCGTTGAAAATATCAAGGATGGCAGCGATCCGCCTTTTGTGTCCGCAGCAGTAGGTGCTGAGCTGGGCGCGCTCCGTGTAGGCACAGCGCGGCGCGGCGGGGTGACTCTTGTCTGAGCCGGATTTCTTGGGGCAGAAACAAAGCCTGCAGCAATGCCACGCAGAGCGCTCAGGTGCCCGGGCTGCGGCTGGGCTCGGGAGCCTGCTCCCTGCTCTCTTGCCTCTCGCCATGTTGGACTCTCGGGGGGGTTTTTTCCCCCGAGGGAGCCCACTCTTCCCCAGCCTTCTCAGGGAAAGGCCCCTTCCGCCTCTGCGCTGGGGGCCTGTGCAAAGCAGGGAGCTTTCTACTCCCACACTTTTTCCTCCCACGCTGGAAAGAGACAAGCCAGGGACTGTTACTTTGTGCGGGGAGGAGGGAGGGGACCGAGTGAAGACAAACAGAGCCGAGTATAAAATAATGTGCTATTATAATTGGCTGGCACGAATTCGGAAGGGAGAGGGGGACGGTGCAGAGCACAATCAATCACCCCAGCGCTGGAGAAGCAGCCCTCAAAGAGCTACTGAGGCTTGTTTACACTGATTTGGGAGCAACCCTGGTAGCTCAGGCCCGTCACCAAGATCCCAATGTGGCTGGGAATATTTAAAATGAACAGATCCATCTCGCATAGTCCCCTTTCCTTCTTTAATAAAATGACCTGATTTTTGTATTTTTTTCCCCATTTTTGCTATTCTGACTTCCTTCTCCGCTCTACCTCCTCCCCTTTCTGGACCTGATGGGGGAGGGGATGAGGGAGCTCGCTAGCTTTCCAATAATAAAAGAAAAGAAAGCAATGTTTCAGAATATTTGCCTTCCGAATGGCTTTGGACAACAGCATTTCCAAAAATAGGCCCCACTGCAAGGACATTCCGAAAGGGATCTCTATAAAGTACAACCCAGAGAAGAGACTTCACGTATTCAAATCAGGTATTTTTCTTGCAAACCTCCCAAACGTCCACAGTTTTTAATTGCAAGTTTGAGAGCTGAAACTAAAATGGACCTTAATAAACGAGGGTGAAATATGGGTATGTGTACAAAGACATACTCATGTACCGCAGAGATAGTAACCTACTCTGTTCACCATCTGTATCTTTTAGTGCACAGCAAAAAAATGTCGCCATTTTGGTCTCTCAGAAATATTATGAATCTTTAGTCTTTATCTTGTTCTGAGATCCATCCTTGCTTGATGCTGCAACGACTCCAGTGCAGCCATGCATCTGCATAGAGCTCTTCTGCATAAATATATATAACACTGCGAGCCACAGAAAGGGATTTTGTATATTATACAGATTTATTTTGTACACAGAGATATACACTTCAAATGGAAAGAGGCTGGCTACAGTCTGATATCGGTGATTGAATCGCAATTAATGATTAATGCAGACCAACTACTGACTATTAATTTTAACACAGGAAAAAAGAATCATTTGGCAACTGATAGAAGATTATAGGCGACATTTTTCTCGTTTAAAACAAACACCCTCCGCCACCCCTTGTTGTAAACAGGTTAAATAAAATCAAAGGAAATGCTAGAAATTTTAACGTGTCGCTGCTTCAGCACAGAAAACTAAGTTTATGCTAAAAAAAGAGAGAGGATTTCCCATTCCCCTTCCACTCTTTCGGAAGTTGAGTGATTTTCTCCAGCTTTCCAGCAAAGATAGGATGCATTTTTTAAATCTCTCCGTTGCAAACAACAATCTGGAGTTTAAAAGACTGCTGCCGGCTAAAACCCATTTCTACAGGCATAGCAGTTGGTTTTTACAAGATTTCGGCGTTCCCCGTCCATAGAAAGGTCTCTTCCAGGTGGTTTTTGTATTAGATCGGCCACCAGGAAAAATGTGCAGAATACGTCCACCCACACAGGTTTTACTCACAAAGCCTTGTTACACTCCAAGCCTCTCCCTTTCAGCCTACTGTTAATCCCAATATTTTCCTCCTACTGGGAATCGCAACGTTTTCAAGTGAAAGTAGATCCAAAGTTGGCATCATTAAGGTAAAACAGGGTTGCACTGGTCGCACAGCCCTGAGAAGCCTGTGAAAGCACATTTTACAAGCAGCCCTTTTCCCTGTTTACTTGCGTTTCTTCCTCTCTCCCGCTTTTCTCGGCCACATTTGATCTTGGAAAGAGCAAGAAGCTTTAAATGTGGTCATAAGGGCCAGTAGCTGTCAAACCTTTTGGCGGACAAGATTGATCGCGCGCAGGCATCACCAGAGCTTTGTTTGGAGTAAAAGCACGAAAATGAAACCCCTTCCATTTTCCAACAGCATCTATATTTGTAAGGCAGCCCCTTTTTAGGGATTAAATGACAAGTCTCGATCTATATTTTATTTAAACAAGCAACCCAGGAAAAAAAAAGAAGACTTAACAATATCCCAACCCCTCCCCCCTCCCAGTCCCTTCCAGCTTGTGGGTTTATTAAGAGAAAACCGAGGATTTTTGATCAACATTGTACAGACTGGAGCTCTACTGATCAGTTTATTATTTTAGCCACTTACAAAGCTTCTCGTGATGGCTGGAACAGCAAAGGCAAGCCCAAGCCCCCGCCGTGCTCTGTGGGCTACATGAGAATACACACACACACACACACACACACACACACATACATATATGCATATATTTTTTTACAAAGCACAGATCTTCCAGTTTTCATCCTGAATACAAATAACGACAGGAAACGCAGTCCCTGGCCTGGGCTCTGAGCAAAGAAGAACATCAGACGTGTCCAATGCAGTGCTGCTATCATCATCATCATCATCATCCTAATTATTATTATCCGCTCTCTTCTCGTAATCATTTTCATCGCTCTTCTGGATTTGCTTGGGGAAAAAAAGCTTGTGCCAGACCAGAGCATGTAACTAGTCCAGTAAGTGGCACATTGAAACGACTGCGAACAGAGCCAATGCTCCTGGAGCGTGTACAGTTATTCACATTACAATCCTGGTAGCATTTTTTTCCTTGCCTACCACATTAAAAAACAGAAAAAAGACATTCAGACACTCGCCTCCAATACATTTCCTTGGAATCGAAAATACTCACCAGACCCAGTTTACTACGGTTATTAAGCAAAATAGGTCAGCGGTCGCGAATCTAGCTAATGCCCTGGAGTTTGTGGAAAAAAAAATATTCACAGCGCATCTACTTCTGTGTATTTATATAATCTGTATTTTGTTTTTTACGGTCCACTCCTGTGACAGAAGTCAACTGCAGTGGGAAGGCAGGAACCAGAAAGCTCTTTTCTAGCTTAGTCTTCCCATAAGGAGCGAGGCTCCAAAGAAAAATCCAGCTAAACAATGGGATCGGAGATCGGCGGTCAATTGTTCTCCATACTGTACAGCCAATTAAAAAAAAAAAGAAGAAGAAGAGAAAAGAGGCCAACTCGGGAGCAAGACACTAGTTTCGAGGAAGTGCTATTCCCCAGGAAAAAAGGAGGGCTCTCTGCCTGCGAGTCCTGCCTGGGTGCAACTTCTTATGTGGGGGCCCGGCGGTGTCAAAACTTTGAAGATTAATGGATTACTTTGTTAATGACTCAAGGCGTCAGATTGAGGTGCTTAAATGATTTGTGAGGTGCAAAGCGTTTTCCTGACAGTCCCAAACAATGAGATGGAGTGTGCAACACCCCACGCCGAGCCCTTCGCTCGGGGACGCCAAGGGGAGCACTCCAGATCTAGGATTTCCCCCCTAAAAAAGTGTAAATAAAGCCTTTCTGGCCCCCAATGAGGCGTTCCTTCCCGACTTTTTTGGATCAATCAAACAGACAGTGGCTTCTTTTGATTAAAGCCCAAATTGTCATTGGGCAGAGGCAATCATGTGACAGCCAATTCGGTCCAATTTCAACCTTGTCTCCATGAATTCAATAGTTTAATAGTAGCACGGTCCCCATACGGCTGTAATCAGTGAATTAGAAAAAAAACACCCCACCAGCGATCTTCTATGATCTATTTTTTTCTTCTCTCTCTCCTTTCGCCCGGGCCTTCCCCCCCAACAGCCCCCGAAATCAGAGGGAACTTTTTCTCCAAGGGGGCTGCGAGTTGAAGGCCATGAATTTCGAATTTGAGCGAGAGATTGGTTTTATCAATAGTCAGCCATCGCTTGCTGAGTGCCTGACATCTTTTCCCCCTGTCGGTGATACATTTCAAAGTTCATCAATCAAGAACTCGACGCTTTCACACTCGACACTGATTCCTCCTCCTTTTGAGCAGACCATCCCCAGCCTGAACCCAGGCAGCCACCCTCGCCACGGCAGCAGCAGCCGCCCCAGGCAGAGCCCCAATGGCAGCAGCAGCAGCCCGGTGCCAACGGGCGCCCTGCAGCCTCCGGAGTACCCCTGGATGAAAGAGAAAAAAGCCTCCAAGAAAACTGCCCTCCCGCTCGCCACGGCCTCAGCCTCCGCCACTGGACCAGCCTGCCTGAGCCACAAAGGTCAGTTCAAAGACTTTCCCTCTGGATCTGTTGGATTTTCCCCAGCTGAACTGGGAGGCACTGGAAATGGGTTGGCGGAGGAGGAGGGAAGGCGCTGGCGGGCTCCGCCGTGCTCTGAAGCCCCCCAACTTTCCCCAACTTGTGTAATGCGGGATGATTTATTTGAGTTGGAGCTGACCTCCCCTTGTCTTGCTGTCCTAGAGTTAGGATATTTGACAGTAATGAAGAGTGATAGATTGCTCTTGCTCAGCTAAGCAGCTGATGCATTAATTATAAATTGTAGTATGGCTAATATAAAGTTTGCTCTGGTGTGGGGAGGTCTGGGAGCGAGGTGCGATGATTTTATTGAAGGGGAAAGGGATCCACAGCACCGGGCGCACAGGAGAGCAACACAATGGATTTACTGCATCCAAGGGCGGCCATTTTGTTGCAGTTGATATTTTATGCTATATATACCTATATATTTCCCCCCTGGCGGAGTGGAGGGCGCCTGGGGGTTGCGATCCAGCCCGTGCATTTATCTGGCGTTGTTTGTTTGCCTGTGTGCTTGCTTTTTGCAGACTCCCTTGAAATCCCCGATAGTGGGAACGGTGGCTCCAGGAGGCTGAGGACGGCTTACACCAACACCCAGCTCTTGGAGCTGGAAAAAGAATTTCATTTCAACAAGTATCTCTGCAGACCGAGGAGGGTCGAGATTGCAGCTTTGCTGGATTTGACTGAGAGACAAGTCAAAGTCTGGTTCCAGAACAGGAGGATGAAGCACAAGAGACAGACCCAGTGTAAGGAGAACCAAAACAGTGAGGGGAAATTTAAGAGTTTAGAGGACACCGAGAAAGCAGAAGAGGAAGAGGAGAAATCCCTCTTTGAACAAGCCCTCAATAATGTCTCAGGGGCTCTTTTGGAAAGGGAAGGTTACACTTTTCAGCAAAATGCACTATCTCAACAGCAGGCTCAGAATGTACACAATGGAGAGTCCCAAAGTTTCCCAGTTTCGCCTTTAACAAGCAATGAGAAAAATCTGAAACATTTTCAGCATCAGTCACCCACTGTTCAGAACTGCCTATCAACAATGGCCCAGAACTGTGCAGCTGGCCTGAACAATGACAGTCCTGAGGCCCTGGATGTCCCTTCTTTACAGGACTTTAACGTTTTCTCCACAGATTCCTGCCTACAGCTTTCAGATGCAGTTTCCCCCAGTTTGCCAGGATCTCTGGACAGTCCTGTAGATATCTCTGCTGACAGTTTTGACTTTTTTACAGACACACTCACCACAATTGACTTGCAGCACCTGAATTACTGAGAAAAGTCAAGACCTCCTCTTGCCAAGGGTTCTGCCTTCCTTTTTGAAATGACTTAATTTTATTTTCCTTTTTCCTGGTCAGTATTTTCTGTTTCTTAATTCCCTTTGCTGTGTTGGAGAGCCATTTTACCGTTTCTTTTGGAGTTTTAGTTGTGTTCAGTTTAACCTAGCCACATCCTAGGTCCTTCTATGAAAGCAATATCTGAGGCCTGTAAGAAAGTGATCATATAGAATTGTATCGTCACTTTCTTTTTATTTTTGTATTGCATTAGGATGCGTTGTCATAAGTATTTTTGGTAGAATAAATTCTTGTTTGCTACAAGTAGCTTTCTCTTTTTCTTCCACCCTCTTTCTTCCTCACCACTGGTAATCTAACGGGTCTGCTGCTGCTGCTTTTTTCCTCCTCCCCCTCCTAATCTAACTTCGGAAATAAAATTAAACAATCCGCTCACAACCTCTCTCCTTTTGGTAAAGTGACATATTTATTAGAGAGAAAAAGCACATTCCAATTCTTTATTGAAAGGATTCTTACAAGCAATAATTATTATTATTATAAAGCCTGCGCTCAAAGCTTACACAATTTCCTCCTTTTAACCTGGGCATATATCGAAGAGCTTCTATTATCTGCGTGTGAATACAAATTTCGGGTTTTCTAGACTGTAACAAAACAAAAACCAAAACCCCCCAAACAAACAAACGTGCAGCTCTCTCCGTTACAGACCAAATGTAATCCATAGGAAATGGCAGGGATGCTCTGCTAGAGACACTGGCCTCTTGCTGTAGGAAAAGACTGGGTTAGAAATTGCTAAGCTAAACCTCCGTGCGTCCAACAACTCGTTTTAAGGAAAACTTCTTTAAAAATACAAGCACAGTGCGCGATTGCTTAGCTCCCATGTGCTGAACGCGTCCGAGAAAACAAACCTACAAAAAAAAAAGGAAATAAAAAAAAATACAAGTGTTATTATTTGGGGGTGGGGGGGATAGGACTGCATTTCGGAAGGCTGTAGACTGTGCTAACGCGATTCCTCCCGGGGCTCTGCGGAGGCAGGGAACGAGGCTTTTTCTCCATAAACCTCTTTGCGGTTGCCAAACTCTTGCTTAATTCGTTTAAATTTCAATGGAGCCCACTCAGCGGCCCGCTGCTCCATTCGTGGCGCGGTATAAAACCCCCACAGAGGATTGCATTGGAAGACCCGTCGATATTTTTAACCCAGCCGAGAGTACTAGGGCCAAAAATCAAGCAACAGATGGTGGCAGGGAGCGTTGCGGTTCCCAGAGCCCGGCGATGGCGCGGATCCCCGTGTGTTGTGTCTGTGCGCGGGGAGAGCTGGCCGGCGAGGCGTCCAGTTGCGCGGGGCACTTTATGTCCTCTGCCTGCGAGGAGGGTGGTTTCCCCGCTCTGCAACACGTTGTGGAGCTGGGCCGCGTGGGTAATGCCTAGAAGGGCTGGCCGCGATCCTTCCTAGCCTCATAAATCAAACTCTCTCTCTGAATGAGAATGTCATCAAAGAGATCAATTGCAGGAACACATGCACAAATAAAAACCCTCTTACGTATGTGCCGGGGCTGGGGATCCCCGTCTAAAACCATTAAGTTAGAAGGCGTTTAGTCATAATTCATTTTTATTGCTCTTTTAAAACAACAGCTTGGCTGGGCTGCGGGTGCGGCACACCTCTCCGGCCTGCTCCTGCTTCCTCTCCCTGCTCCGGCTCTCTCGGCCCAAAAGGGGCTCGCTCCCTCGCCTGGGGGGGATTTTAACTCCTGTTTAGCTGGACTCGTTCAGCTCCCACTGGACCGATGCCCTGTAGGCACCTCGGGCCTGGAGGTGGCCACGTCCTAGTGAGAGATCGGCCGCCCTGAACCCTCTTCCCCGATCGCTTTGCAAATCAATACATCTCCGCGGAGCGATTGTCTCCCGGGGAAGCCCTGAAACCTGCCTGGGCGCTGGGGGCAAAAGACGGGGGGTGGGTGGGGAGGTGAAATGGGGAGAGCGACAGAGTGGCGCCTAGGGCACCGGGAGGGCAGCAGTGGCTTGGAGATGCCCCCCTCGAAACCTTCTGAGATCTAGGGTGAGGCTGGGGGCGGCGTAAGGGGGAACAGAGCTGGCATAGAGCCCTGCTCTGAAGGCTTGTCTCCATTTGCCCCTACTCTGCCTTCCCCACCTCATTGTGCCGCGCTGGAGCAGAGACAATGTAACAAAAGGGCGGATTTCTTCCCCACCGTGGCGAGGAAAGCGAGTGCAAGGCAGCCGGGCTGCGGCGGGGGTGTCCGGCTGAGAGAGGGACTTGGGGGTAGCAAGTGATGAAAAGCGGGGTAATGCCTGGGGTGGTAGGGGGGAGCCAGCTCTCCAGTAAGCGGTCCCTGTGGCTTGCCTTTCCCCTGATCTCCACCCAGCTGGGGCAGGCAGAGGAAGTGCCCCTCCAGCCTTTTCTGCAGCCACAGAGGCGGAGTGCAGGCCGCCTCGTGCATCTCAGGGAATCCCCTGCTTCCCTCCCCCGCCCCCAAGCCAAGAGTGTTGAGCAACTCAATGGCTCCAAGCGGCCCTGGCCCGTTCATGGCGGTGCGGGAGAGCAGCCCGGGAGGGGGAGGGCGGCTCTTTTGTGCCTAGCGGGTGGAAGGGAAACATCTACCCGCTTCCCAGTGACACCAGCGGGGCTGCGGGGTGCAGGGCGGCTCGCGGAGGTGGCCTCACAGGGGCACAGACGGCTGTGGAAAGCCGATCCCGGGGGTGTGGGGGGTAGTGGGTGCGGGGGAGACTCTCTCTATGCATCTCCCTGGGGCTGCGGCCGGGAGAGGGGTCCTCTCCCCGCGTGTGCATTTGAGCACGCCCAGGCACAGGCAGGGGCGGTATCCACACCCACGCGTGGATCTACGGCACCTGGGCCCTGCTTGTCTGCATGTGCCCGTGGTAGCGCACTCACACACCAGTCCCCATCCCCACCCCCGCACACGGACCCGGCTTTCCCTAGCTGGACAGAGGGAAAGTTTGAGCCCATCTTGGGAGGGCGTCCCCCGGGAGCCTCCGCCACTGACCATCTGCTGGCTCCCTCCGC